CCAAACCCTAGAATAGGATATTTTAAGAGAGACAGAGAGAGAAAAGAATTGTAGATATAGAAGCTGTGTGTGTGTGTGTGTGTGTGTGTGTGTGTGTGTGTATGCATGAACAAGTGTGTTAAGATTAAAACTCAAAAGAAGCAATGAAAGGCAATGCCGACAACATTCCCAGAAAGTAGAATAAGAAGCCAGAAATGGAAAATGAGACCCAAACCTGCGCTAGCTTCCAATTCCCAAGAAAAGAGGATGGGAGATAAAAAGAGAAGGTAACAAAGAAATAATTCAGGAAGAAACTGAGTTCCCAGAATAAAAGTGTCTGACCAGAAAGTTGCTAGCAGAATGTATCTACAAAGTCCAGCACTACTGAAATGTTAGATCAAGAAGAATGCAGAGGAAAGCCCCACAAATTCAGCTGTTGGGAGATGGCACAGGGGTGGCACATGCAATGGGCAGAACAGTGGGCATTTCTAGAACAACACCTGATAAAGACGCTGTCATTCTGCCTTTCTATATCTAATCAAACTCCTAAGTAGATATGAAGGGGGGGGGAATAAAGACATTTGCAGACATACAAGGACCCAAACATTTTTGTCCTTCCTCTGGATCTACTTGGGGATGCAGTCCAGGAAAACAATGGTGTAAAACAAACAAACCAGGACCCAGAAGACAGATGACCAAATACAGAGCAGGGGTGGGGAAAGGCTTGGACAGGAGATTGGCCTTCCGGGAAGAGAGCAGGAAAGCTGGCCAAATTCATGGGTCAGGACGGCAGAGAGTTCCAGGAGGGAAGTCTCAGGAAAATGAGTAACAGCAGCAGCAGCAGACACAAACTCAAACCAGAGAGAGCTGAGGAATTGCCATCACATTGGAACTGAGTGCTAGGAGATATCTGGCAATCTGTGGGAGCTGTGAGCAAACAACCAAGGATACATAGAAACGAAACAAGCAAAAACAAGGTAACCAATCCCTTTAGGTTAAACAACTCATTGTCTAAAAAAAAAAAAAAAAAGGAATCATAGCCATGGGACAATGCTTGGATAAGTCTTGTCATGCCTATGATTATTATGGCTTCTACCCAGAGTACGATATTACCCTGAAAAAACCAGGGAAAGGAGTGTGTGGGTGCTACAGAGGATACCCCGCTCCTGCCTATCTTACAGAGAGTTTAATAAATCAAGAGGTGTCAAGTCAAGGAAGAACTGGGCCATTTACTTAGAATTAAAGAGGCAAATAGTAGAAAGAACAGCAAAGTGACTTGAAAGGATAGGATTGTGTAGTGGGAGAGATGGATGTATTTGCATAATAAGCCTTGAGAACTATTTGACGACAATTGTTTTATTATAGTGTGTATGTGTGTGAACAGGTGTGGAGGTCAGAGGACAAATCCTGGGAGTTGCTTCTTTTTGTGTATCTTGGGGGGGGGGTCACACTAGGGTCACCAGTCTTGGCCACAAGCACCTTGAGCTGCTGAGCCCTCTCTCTGCCTCACCCCCCATTTTCCTTTTAAGCTGTCTCTTAGTGCTATGATAGTAATAATACCTGCCCCCATCCTTTGTGTTGGGTTGGGGATTGAACCCAGGGCCTTTCACGTGCTAACTACCTAGACACTCCTGGCCAAGTTATACTCTGATTAAAAAAATACAATTAAAACTATTTTTTATTTGTTTTGTTTGTGTGTTTTGCCTACATGCATGTATGTGTATCATGTGGGTACTTGGTGTCCAGGGTAGCCATGAGATCTCCTGAAACTGGAATTACAGACAGTTGTGAACCACTATGTGGGTGCTGGTAATCAAACTCGGATCCTCTGTAAGAATAGCAACTGTTCTTAATTGCTGAACTATCTCTCCAGCTACCCTTCTCCCTGTCAAAAATAGATCTTAGTATTTTAAAATATGAATGGAAATAGATCTGAAAAAAATAGCAGGTGTAAGTAGCTTACTTCAGCTGAATAGCTTAGCTCTAAAACATAGCGGGAGTGGTGCAGGTCGCCTGTAATTCCAGCTGTGTGTGTGTGTGTGTGTGTGTGTGTGTGTGCGTGTGTGTGCGTGTGTGCGTGCGTGTGTGTGTGTGTGTGTGTGTGTGTGTTGGGGTGGGGGAGGGCAAGGAGAATTGAAATTCAAGGATAGCTTGAACTATACAGTGTGTTTAAAGCTAGCCTGGGTGGGACTGGAGCTCAAGAGGTTAAGAGCACTGAGTTCAATTCCTGGCAACCACATGGTGGCTCACAACCATCTATAGTGGGATCTGATACCTTTTTCCACCTTAAAAGGCCCACATGCATGAAGAATACTCATATACATAAAAAATAATAAAATCTTTACAAAACCAGTTAGCCTGGGTGACATAGTGAGACATTGTGTCAAAATAAAACACAGAAAGAGAGCCTGGATACAGCTCCATGGTAGGGCGCTTGCTCGCCTGACATATGTGAGGCCCTATGCTCAACCTGGAGTCTACAAAATGCAAGCAAGTGGAAAGAAAAACACTGCAAGAGTCAGCCTCCAAGAAATAGCAAGGGGCCTGATACCAAACTGCTGGGTAAATCCACATTTGGGGCAGCATCAATGTGACAAGTTATTAGTCACCCTGCCTGTGGGGCTAATGTCTCAGCATACACCTGGGTGGCATAGAAAATTATAGCCAAGAAAAATGTGTCAGAATCCAAGTGACTGGATCATGTGCATGGCACAGTTCTAAGAACTTTCCATGCTTTGTTTTAGGAGTATTTCCTAGTAGACATGGGTCGAATCTTGTAATATCTTAGTTCAGTCAAAAAGGAAAATGAAGTTTGGAGACATTCTGTGGAAGTCACTCATATTTAACTGGTATAGGAACTCAAGTCTGTTGCTGTTAAACCTAAATACCTACAACTATGGGGACTTCTATTATTGTTACACATTGTGGAATGTGGCTAATAGGGCACACTACTGTCTGGTCACTTCCAGTTCTTATGAATACCAGCTTCCTCCTTGGCAGTTTCAGCTTCCTCAGAAGTTCTAACACTCAAAATGAATGCATACAGCCCTGTTAGCAAAATCTGTCAGTGCCGGCAAATGAAAACGTTTAGGTGACAAGCTAAACAGAATCTTGAGATTCTGTCTACACAAGCTTTGGAGGACTCATCCTTGGTCACTTGTGGTCACTTTTGTGACCATGTTCAAGAATGAATTTTAAGAAGAGAGAACTAGGGCTCTGAAATATTTTCCATTTTGCAAGCAAGCTGATGCTGGGGTCACCTGTACTTTAAATGTGACCAGTTCCTCCTATTGGGGAATTTGTAATAGTTACTTCTGAGGACTTAATCCTGTATATCCCAAGCTCAGCACTATGACCAAGTGGAGACGAACAACTCCAGAAACAACTTGCTTCCCCTTTATACAGGTGTGCACCAAGCACTAATTTAACTGGTCAGAATGTCCTTTCTCTCCTTTCAAAAGGCTCAGTGATAGCCCTTTATTTAAGCTCAAGTCTGCCACCTTGTGGACAGCACTTTTTAAAAATTATTTCTCAACTTTTTTGTCTTTCTAAAGATTTTTCATTTTACATACCAGCCCCAGTTCTCCCTCTCTTCCCTTCTCCAGCCCCCCCTTCTCACCCACATCCACTCCTCAGAGGGGGTAAGGCCTTCCTTGGGGAGTCAACAAAGTCAGGCTTACCAAGTTGAGGCAGGACCATGTCCCTATCCTCAGTATCAAGACTGAGCAAGGTATCCCACCATAGAGAATGGGCTCCAAAAAGTCAGTCCATGCACCTGCGAAAGGTCCTCGTACTACTGCCAGCCCCACCCACATTCAGAGGGCTTGCCCATTCATTTAAAAAACCATCAGATGCCTCTATGGTTTGTAAGGTATCTGAATAGTATTATTCTTTCCACTTTATAATGAGAAAATTCGGGATTAGAGGAAGGAAGGAATTTGAAAGCACCTGGAATGTCTTTTCTGACCAGTCAGCAAAAACTTAAAGTACTCTCATTGCCCTGAGAGTTTCAGCCCAGGAGATGTTTTGGCTCATCAGCTATTACCAAGTAAGGGCTTTCTGCAGAGTTGAACTTGGTTCCCATCTGGCCCTCTGCCATTCTGGATGGTGGAATTATCCAATGCTGTTCAGGTAAAGAACTCCCCCAAGAGAAAGCAGCAGCCACTACCCAATTTCTCCCATTTTCAAGTTTGGTAAGTTACTACAATGCTCCAAACATGGAGGTAGTGAACTATAAAACCACATGCCATGAGTTCTCCTTAGAATTTTCCAGAAGCATCCAGTGGCCACTTTACTAGGGACATGCTCCCATTTGAAGTTCTCTGGATACCCTGTGCAAAGACAGCGTGCCCTTCATGAACACATCATGGCCGTGGCTGAACTCTGTGAGTGGAATTAGATATGTAAGTCTCTCTGTTACTTTTCTTCCTCACGGAAGAGAGATGGAAGGTCCAGGTTATTCACATGAAGCTCAGAGCTTCATGTGAGCTTTAGAGGATAAGTGTATGATGGTTGGCTTTCGCTGTCAACTTGACATACCTGGAAGGAGTCTCAGTGAGGAAATGTCTAGGTTAGGTTGGTCTGTGGATGGCTCTCTTACTAAAGTTAATTGACATGGGAAGGCTGAGCCCACTGTTGGTGGCATCATTCCCTAGGCAGGGGGTCCTGAACTGTATTAGAGTGTAGAAACAGAACAGAGCACAAACAAGCAAGTGCACATGCACACATTCCTTCCTCCTTGCTCTAGACTGTAGCTATGATGTGACTAGTTCATTGATTTTTCTGTGTCTCTGACCTCTCTACCACGAGGAACACTTCCGTGAAGCCAGGACAGAGATGAGATCGGAGGACTGGAAGAAGTCATGCCGTTTAGCTGGTGGCTTTCCTTATTTGCACTTTCTCATTTATTTATAGCAATTACTTTATAAATGACTTTTGCTAATCAATAAAACTGTCTTATGGGCAACATTTTGGTATTTTTGGTTTCGTTAGGAAACTGAATGGGAAGAGCACATTCCTACCTTGTAGATGCAGGACTTTGCATTCAGGAAGAAGAGTTCAATGGTGGCATTGTCCTTCAGGTAGGAGATGCTTTCTATGTAGAATCTGTAAGAGAAAAACCACGTGTGAGACACAGGGGGAGTGGAAATCAACCGCAGCATTGAGCTGCATGGTTTCAGAGGAGGACTACAGTTCCTGTGCTGAATGAAGAGAAGAACAAGGGGCCACCAGGCTTTTCTCTGCTGCCTTCTTTGAGTGGGCACTGTGTTTTATACCCATAACCATATATACAGACATTTTTCTCAACACCCATTCAAGGACAAAGAGCCTATGAGAATACATTCCTGGGATCACTGAGCACTTGGAAAATTCAAATCACAAGCTGAATGAGATATTGACAAACACAACTCTAAGATTCTAAGATTCCTGTTTTTCTGTGTAGTGAAGTCATCTTTATTATATTAAAGATACAGTTCACCAGTTCAGACTGTTTACTTTTCTTGCTAGAGATCCTCAGTGCAGTTCCCAGCACCCATATGGGATGGCTGGCTCACAACTGCCTCCAACTCCATTTCCAGAGAGGCCAATGCCCTCTGCCCTCCGGTGGGCACCAGAATATATGTGGGCACATAAGCTCATGGAGGTGTACATACATACACATAGATATGTCTGAAAATATATAGTCTTATGATATAAATAGGAGCTTTGGTAGTGTAACAACAGCCTTACCTCTAAGGACAAAATACTTCTAAATATTAAGCTATTATGATAATAAGATATAGAACATAATTGAGTCTACAAATTATAATGCCTTTTTAGCATTGATTGGTATGTGTCTCTGTGTATGTATTTATGCATACATATGCAGTGTACATGTACATATGTGTCTATATTCATATGGAGGTCAAAGGACAATTGAGTGTAGTTTCTTAGGAACTGTCCACACTTAAAAACAAACAAACATGGTCTCTCACTGGCCTGGAGATTACCAAATACAGTGGCTAGAGAGTGAGCCCCAGGGATCTCTTTCTGCCCCTCCAACTCTGGCGATGGTCCTATAAGCATATGCAACCATGCCTGGCTTTATGTGGGTTCTGGGGATCTGAAGGGACCAGACCCTCACCCAGCCATGACAGGCTGCAGAACAGACCCAGCAAGATGTAGGCCGCTAACTCAGCACATGTTGCTGATTTTCTGGCCTTCTGATCTTGCCAGACCTGCTCCAGTCACTAGAAGGTCAGATATCATCCATGTGATAAGGAACCACTCAGAAGTTAGGTGGCAGGCTCTGAATGTGCTTCACGGTAATAGTGGTATACATGGCATAGCAACTACCCTGGGAGGACTCATAGGCCATAGCAACCAATTGACCAATCAACACAGGATAGGTCGTCCAAGCCTGGAAGTACACCAATCCTGAGACTGTTTCAGACCCCTAGACTCTCCCCTTAGTCACCCCAATTCTGTGTCCTCACCCCACCCACCATATCAGAAGGAGGAATAGAAGAACAGAGTTGATAGAGTTATCTGTTTTTGCATTGGAATGGGTCTTTTGGTGATTTTTGGGTTCAGAATTTGTGCATAACAGATTCAAACTTGAATCCTCATGCTTGTACATGTGGAAAGCACTTCACTGACTGATCAGTTACACCAGTTCTCCACATTAATTTAAAATCAAAAAGCCTTTAAAATACACACCCAAGAGAAAAAAGTGTGTGTGTGTGGGGGGGGGGTAAACCTACTATCCTGATGGGAGATGCGATTCTATATATATGTTTCTCATACTGGTTAATGAATAAAGCACTGTTGGCCAATAGGAAAGGAAGATAGAAGGGACTAGGAGACAAGGAAGAAAGAGGAAGTAGTAAGGAGGAGTCAAGATGGAGAGACTGGGGAGACCAGTCACCTGCCCCACGTGAAAATACATAGATCAACAGAAATGGGTTAATAATTAAGACAGAGCTAGCCCATAAGAAACAAGTACCTGGCCAACAGCATTATATCAAATACAGAGTATCTGTGTGTTAATTGGGGCTGGCGCAGCGGTGGGACAAGACCAGCGGCGGGCAGAAAAAACCTTACTCCTTATACTATCCATTTTGGGTTTTCGTTTCTTTTGTTTTTTCTACCAATGACACATGGGATGCCTGCACAAAATCACAAAGTTTTCATGGAAAAACAAACAAACAAACAAACAAACAACAACAACAACAACAAAAACCCAAAACAAAACAAAAAAACCCAAACTCAAAATGGCAAAAAATTACCCATAGTCATATGAAAATGAGGATGGATTAAAACAGGCTCAGAGCTGGGCCAGACCAGATTGCTCCAGCTGTAAAAGGAAAAGATACCCAGAGGGACCTCAGGTCCTGCCATCCCAATGCAAGCTCTCTGGAGCCAAGTCTCCACAGATCCCTTGGGCATTGCAGACCTGGATTAACTATGATTCTCACACTCTTAGCTGACCATCTACTTTCTTTTCCCTTACCCAATTTCTAATTCTTCATTCTGCTATTTTTTTTAATGTTACTTTTTTTATCCTAATCATTATTAAACCAGACTTTTAAAAGGAATTTGTTCTGTTCAATGGAGCAGCAGGCGGTGATCACGTGGCTCTTACAAGCACTTCCTATGTGCTTCCCTGAGGGTGATGAAGTGTGACCGAATTTCAGTCCATCCCTAGGCTAGGATAAGTGCTCTTAAGGCTGTGACATTCACGCACATTAAGCCAAATGAGAATTGAATTCCTATCAGAAGCAGCGTATGGATTTCTCTCAAGATGAAACATGCCGACATCATTTAAGTTTACGTTAAACATGCCTTTGCACATCAGTTCAGAGTTTATTGAATTCTTTAATCAGATAATGTGCCCATTCAGTCTAAGGACCAGCGCATTGAGGACAGAGCGATTTTGGATGAGGAAATGACTGAACTGCAGGGAGCTGGAGTAAAACCCAGACTAGACTAGGAAGACACTGGAGTAAAACCCAGACTAAATCTAAGGAAGTAAGCAGACAGCAGGGCACAGAGGGTGAAGTGAGCAAAAGAAGCAGCAAGTGCTGTGGCCATTCAGAACCAAGACACACGCTTCTGAGGAGGAAGACAAAGGCCAGGGACCTAAACTCAGCTCTGTGTGACTTAGGACAAGTCACATAATCATACTGAGATTCTCTTTTCCCAAAGCAGGGGCCACTGAGAGGAGTGGAAGGAAGGGAAACTGTGGTCGGGATGTAATTAATATATGAGAGAAGAATAAATTAAAAGAAGAGGAAGGAGGAGGAGAACAAGGAGGAAGGGAAGGGGGAAGAGGTAAACAGAGTGGGACTCAATGGATCTCCATGTGAGAAGTCTTTTTATGTTTATACTGGGATGAATTTAAACGAAAACACCCACCACCCCTGCCACTGCCTCTCCACTGCAGCAGCCAAGCCCAGACTGGACTTACTGTACACACCTGTAATCCCAGCTGTGGGAGGTCCAAGCAGAAGGAATGGGAGTTCACAGCCATCCTTAGCTACACAGCAAGAGTTTGAGGTCAGTCTAGGCTACACGAAACCTTGCCTCAAGAAACAAAAGAGCAAAAACCCTCCTCACAACCTACAAACCCAGGCTAGGCGGGCCAGGCTCACAGCCCTTGTCCATATACTAAGTGATGTCCTCTGCCATTTTCTGAATGTGTGAAGAGGCTGCTGTGATGACTGTGGTGCAGATTCATATACATGTGCTAGTGAACTGGTGTCAGAGATGGGCAGGTCACCTCCATCAATAGACAATAGCCATTTGTCACAAAGTCAGAGTTACACAATTCCAAAGGATTAAAAAAATGGCCCTCACTTGCAAAGCCTGTGAGAGGGGACCAATTGATCTATAGCTGCCCTGTCCCCAAAGCACCTGCCTGCTGCTCTGGGAGCAGGTGTTTTAGATCGTGGGACCTCCATGTAGTAGGATGTGCAATGGTCTCTGGGGAAAATTGAAGCTGCACAATTTTCAGTACTTGAGTAATGGAAACCTAAAACACAGTGGCAGATTTTATAACTTGAAGTATGTTAAATGATTAAATTTAAATCTGGATATTCATCCTTTAACTCTTTGTGTGTGTGTGTGTATGTGTGTTCATGTGTACTTACAGGCATACATGTGGAACTCGGAGTACATAAATACTTGATTTTCTCTTACTGTGTAGGTTCTGAGGATGGAACTCAGGTCATCCTGTTTGGCAGCAAATGGCCCACTGAGTCATCTCTTTGAGATTATTATTTTTTAATTAAAAATTATATCTGATGTGTATGTGTGTTTGCGCATGCACACCTCACACAGTGCACATTTGGACATCAGAGGACCAATGGGAGGTGGTTCCCTAAATCTCCATCATTTGCAAAGCGTCTTTGGCAAGGGCAGTCAGAATAACAGCATATGGGAAGAAGGGAAGCGGGAAAACTGGAGGAGATGTTGAAGAGTATGTATGATAAAGACAGGGAAATGCTTTGAAAATTAAGCTATTTCAGACTCTACACATTTAGACTCAAAATTATTACATAGTGCAAAGATAGCTGTTAGCCTCAGGAGGGCTCTGTAGTTTTTCTTAAGAGTCCAAACAGGACAGTGACCCTAACTGTTTTCTGTTTTAACAGTGAGACATGGTGACAGTGAGGTAAGGACTGGCTTTGTGGATATGAGACCCCACTCCTGGAAGTTTATGATAGCTGAGAAATCACTTGACAAAGTGTACAAGTGGCCTTTTTACATCAACCTGCTTCTGTGACTCTGTTCAAGCCATTCTACAGAGAGCCACTGCCAAAAGACCCCTCTCCCTTCATCCCTCAGCTTGAAAGTGCCCTCTGGAGATCATTTCCATAGCCAACGACCTCCTCCAAATCGCCTAACCTGGGACAGTTTAGCATACCTCCCACAGTCTGGTCATTTCTGACTAGGATTCTCACTAGGCTGCCACCTCCTGGATAGCCAGGGAATATCATTTTTATTTTTTTGCCTCAAGAACAAGTGTAGAGCCTGGTAATTTGATGTTCAACTTTTCCACTCCATCCCCTCTTGGTTCCTCTAAGGGGTAGCTGTATTATCGTTCCCAGGAGTAGCTGTATTAG